AAAGAACCCAGGATTTGATGGTTAATTCCACTGTAAACACAGTGAAATTTAGTAAAATCAATTATTTTATTTAGAGAATTGGTATAATTAATTATTTTCTTAATATATAAACACATGCATATTATTTTAGTGAGAAAAAAAGAGAAGAAAATAGTAACTTGTTTAAACTTATGATTAAAATAAAAGCATTAATCCTAATTAACAAGAGCCTTTCCCAACCATGAAACCAGGTAAAATGTCTTAACTACATGAAAGCAACCTAGGAATTAGAGTTTTGTATATGAACGTTTGTTAGTACCATTGAACTGAGTGGTTAGAAGAAAGGTGCTTGATTGAGATAAGGGTTATCCAATGACTTGTCCAACTAAAAAACCAAGAAACCTTTGCTTTCATATAATCCTGAATTTTGATGCTAACTTCACAAACCCTGATGAGATTGCTAGGAACGATAACAAAGAGAATGAGTCAAAAATAAATTTTGAATTATTATCGTAGGTACGTGTTAGTTTCCAAATACAACAAATTTGTGGCAACTTCCTTCGGTGTATTATACTCTTTGGTCACTCCTTAGTCCTTAGACTTTATTAAATTTTTATGTCTTGCTTATATAATAATAATATTAATTTTTAAAATTGTATAAAATAATTCATTTATTACTAGTTAATAGTATTATCTTTTGTACAATTATTATATGAAATTATATATTTTGTAATAGTTTTATTTCAATTGATAATAATGAAATATTTCCTCGTTTAAGTTTCTAAATTTGTGAGACATTATCATAGTAGTCCCAAAAATTAGATTATATTAAAAAAAATCAAGAAATTGAAATTACCGTGATTTTAGTCTCTAATAAATTTTAATATTCAAGAATTTGTTTGACATTTTTCTAATTTTAAAAGCTATCATAACGTCTTAAAAATTGAGTGAGTAAAACAGTTTATTCGACAATAGTAATGTAATCTAATTTGTTTGATTACTAATTAAAACAGTTTATTCGACAATAGTAAAACAGTTTATTCGACAGTTTATTCGACAATAGTAATGTAATGTAAAACAGTTTATTCGACAATTGTATATAAATTTTTTATGTTTGATTGGTTATTTAAAAAATAATATTTTTAGAAAACGTTGTTTCTCAAAAATGCTACTTACATAAATTTCTCACAAAATTATTTTCATAAGAGAGATAAGAGACTAATATTGTCAAGTTAAAAGTAGAATTTAATACAATAAAAATATTGTGTTATTTTATTTATTTATTTAATTCAATAAAAAGATTTGGTTCCTAAATAATATTTATAAATATTTCTAAATATTTATAACATATTAAACAAATATTAAGTATTTCTAACAATCATGATTTGTGATACTTAATGATTTTAATGAATTACGATTCTTATATATAAAAAAATTCTTCATATACTAAATGCTCCATAAAATCAACCCAATGGTGGAGGGGTTGGACAAATACATGAAGACACTAATTCTCATTATCATTGTACTAACATTTTTTATTGATAAGAAAATATCTTTATTTTTATAAATAAATCGACAAATATAAACTTCTTTCTTCTACAACTCTTAAATAATTTATTTTTCTACTTAAATAGTTACCTGATTATGATAAATTAAAATATAAAATAAAATTATTTTGAAATACTAAAAATATAATAATTTTCAAGATGTAATATAAAAAACTAAGGAAGAAATTTGTGGGTAAACTTTTGAATGAAAAATGTTTATCAATTAATTCATTTAATTTACAAAAAATAAAATTAAAAATTGAAAAATAAGTTTTAAGTAAAATTATCATTAAACTTAATCATAATGAATAGAGGAAAAGTGAAAGAATTAAATTCATTAAAAAAAATTATTGAAAAACATAATTCATACATGAAGGGTTAACACCCAATTTGATCATTGAAAGATGATAGAGGTGGTGATAGATCCTTGAAAGATTATTTTGCTAAATTTTAATTTCGTTATGTAAGTTAACTATTTTATGATATTCAATTATTAACACCGAATAGTCAATAGTTAAGTATTAACATATTTTCCAATCAACAACAAACACCTTTGTCATGTTTAAATATTTTATGTTTTAGTTAAAATGAAAAGTTGTTATTGGATTTCATAGGTTTTTTCTAGTTGAATTTTTGTCTCAATCATCCTTAATTTTTGTTTATTCTAACTACAAGTTTCAAATTATAAATCTTAAATTCTTGAATTTGAGATTTAGTAAAATGAGTATTCATTGAAAAAATCTCAAGTAAAAATACGTTAATTAAGTATGAGTATTTATGTTATTTTAATAAATTGTAAAACTTTTCTAATAAAAATGAGAAGAAGAAAAACTTAGTGTTAAAAAGAGTTGGTAAGAAAAAATAAGTCAATCAAATGTTACTTGAATTATTTTAAGATTAAATTAAAAATCAAATCTTACTTTATCACGTGTCTAAACCTACTTAGTTTATAATTGTTGTATATCAATGGGAGAGATAATACATATCAATATGACAATGAACAATTAATTTTTCATCAAACTAACAAAGTTAGTGACCGAATATAACTAGAGATGGCAATGGGGCCCCATGGGGGCGGTAAACCCGCCCCCGCCCCGCTGAATGAAAATTGACCTCATACTCACCTCATATTCACGCGGGTATCCATTAAACGGGTATCCATGAATTTCTTAAATATTCATGAATATTTATAAAATTTGTAAGAAATTAAAAAAATTATATTATAAATAATTTTAAGTTTATATTTAATGTTATTGAAATGTTAAAAATAAAAATTCAGTGTTAATTTTGAACTTGTATTTAACGTTAATTTTGTTGAAATAATAATAAAAATGCAAGATAATCAATAACTTAAAATATATCGATCTCACAAGTAAGTTAGAATCTCATCACAAAGCTACAATAATTCAATCTCATAATTCCAAACAAAAATAAACAACTTAAAATATATAAATCTTATTGATCCAATCAAAGCTAAAAAATTAATCAAATTACATCCAACATAATTCTATAACATGCTTAACACATGTTGGTAACCTCATCAACCTCACTTTTTTGTAAGAAAATAAGATGAGAGTGTAATTTTAGAGTTATGTAGTACAAAGATAATTAAGATATTTAAGAAATATTATTAAACAGGTACCCGCGAGTATGAATATCATCATACCTGCCCCCGCCCCGTTTATAAACAGGTAAAATTTATTCATCCCCATTATTCGTGAGTACCCAATTAGCCTCTATTCATTTATTATCCGTAACGAATTTTACCCGCAAATATCCGCGAGTACGGGTATTTTTGTAATCCCTAAGTATAACAAAAGACTAACTTACATACTAAATTAAAATTTAGAGATCAGAGATGTCACAGAAACTTTTAGAAATCTATAGACTACATCTACCATTTTTCAAGGATCAAATGGGATGTTTACTCTACACATTAATTATAAAAAAGCTTAAAATGCACTTGAGTCTTTTCTTCACTAATAATAGTAAACATAGGTCCATAACTGCTGCGATCCTGCTTTTATTGTTTTACTATCTAAAAGAATTCTTTAATGGGCCTCAATCTACATTGTTACACGCTGAAAATTCAATGAGCTACACAGTTGATATATCACCCTTGTTTTCATACACTTGCAACCAACCCTATTTGGATATCGTTAAAAAAATTACAGGAGGCATTTTGGTATCTTTTTAAACAAGAATTTACACTACATTTGAAAAATCATTTAGCTCTACCTAACTTCCAGATCATGGTTTAGAAATCTTTAATCTCAATGCCAGCTTCTGCTGCAGTGAGGTTATCTTCATTCTCAAGCAACAAATAATCACAATAATCCAAAAGCATATCTGCAAGGGGAGGGATTCCCGGATTTCGTCCATCGTTATATTTATGTGCATTATAAGTAATCTGCCAGACATCGTGCCTGAAATCTTCTCGGCTCTTGTACTCCATATTCCGTACTCTCTCCCTGATTCTGGAAAGATCCATGGGCCTCTCTATTATGTCCAGGTAGTCAGGAGCCTCCTTCTTCGACACCGGTTTCAAGAAAAGATACGACAGATCACTCCTATCTTTAAGGGCTTCCACAATGCTCTCCAAGATATTTGCCAAACCAACCTTCATAGGAAAATATATTGGTACTTTTATGCCATAAATGACTAACTAGTTATTGCTAATTTGCTTCTACATGTATGAAGATGAAGTACATGAAGCTAGTGGTGGAGTTTAGAGTAGAATGCCCAGTTGTAATTCTTATGGATAAAAAACTAAAAGTGCATGGAGGTAAAACAAGCACTAAATAAAGAAAATAACATGCAAAGAAATGTACCTCTCCCCCTCCCCCTCTTCGGCGTTTTGTTGGCGGCATGTAATCTGCACTAATCTTTCCCAACTCAGCAACAGATCTCCTTTTTCCACTCCGGTCCCTTTCTGGCATTCTCTTATCATATCTTCTTGGTCTGGGGTCATCTAGATACTCATCTCTTAAATCAAGCTTTTTCTTCTTCTTTTTCTTCTTAGCTTTTTGCCGTTCTTCCTCCTCTCTCTCTCTTCTAATATCTTCTTCAAATCTTTTAATCTCATCTAACCTTTCTTGCTCTTTGAGCATCCTGATTTCTTCTTTGTGATGCCTCCTTGCTCTGTCTTCTTCTCGAAGTCTTGCATCATTTCTCCGTTTCTCTTGCTCTTCCCACCATCTTCTGTCCCCTTTAGTGTTCCATTTTGCAAAACCTTCAGTTCCATACATAGTCTCCTGTTTTTTATGTTTCTCGAAATTTGACAATTCAACAATTCTTTTAGTTTTTCTGTGTTGATGTCCTGTGTTTGCCCCAGGACTGTCCAGTTCCAGATCAATAACCTCCTTAGTACGTTTTATAATAATCTTTTTGTGACTTTGCTCCCTATCTATTTCTGTTGGTGGGCGTATTTTAATTGGGAACTTATGAGGCTCAACCTGACCTCTACCTGAATCAGAAGGAGGCCGTATAACAATAGCATGTTTATGAGATTCAGCCTGCGTATCATCCTGTTTCGCTTTGTTGGGAATAATTATCTTATTGACCTTAGCAGACTTTGCAGTTTCTGAGTCAGAAGTCACTGGCTTGTCAGAACTCTGCAGGGTTTCTATTGCAGGTCTATCAGAAGATTTTTCCGTGGAACTACATTTGAATTTCAGTGGAATTTTTGTTGAATTGTCAACAGGAGCAATTTTTGTTGCACTTTTTGACAGTGTCTTTTTGGAGGGGGCTTTAAGCTGGGATTGACTAGATGGATCCACAAAGCTGGATTTTCCAGATGATTTTTCTATATCAGTAGATTCAAGTTGAGTATCTAGATCTTCACCATATTTTGGACAGTTCTTGTTCGTTCGCATGTGCCCAAGCTGGTTCATCAACAAAATAATTACAATACTAAATATCAAAGCATGGAGTACAAAACTTTCACAGAACTAAAGATAAATTAAATTAATTGCTATATTTTCTTAATTATTAAGGTAGAAAATTTAGAATTCTTTTGTTTTCTTGATCATGCTTTGTGTAACTTCACATCTGTGTTTCAGTAATGATTTTAAATATTTAAAAAAAATTGTCATCAAAAGCATCAAACCTTATGCAACACGTGTCATAAACTAATTTTAATGGCTAAATGGGCTGTAAACAATTCAAGATACGCACCTGACCACATGCCCCACAAACAAAAGTTTCCCTTGATGGTTTTTTCTCCTTAAACACCTGGTTCTCCAGACATAAATAAAAGATAATTTCAGGAGGCAGAGTAAAATTTAAAAACATTACTTCAATCTTCCTGAAAGAATGCAAACACAAAATTCACACACAAACACATACAGAGATTAACAAGCTTTTAGCACATCTGCAAAACACAATAATGTATTGCAATCTGAACAAGCAACAAGAAGACAATTTCCATGTATTTAGTCCAATTTTAGAAATTACTGATAACAGTTATAAACAGTTCCAGACAAGAAGGATGGTCATAATTTATTCATCATGAAATGAAAAGAAATGCAATTACTATGATATACACTTTGAATATGACTGCAATGGACTCAAATTCCCTTTATCAGTTGCCTAAGGTTGTCAAAATCAATATCTTGGGTAACATTTGGAAGCAGAGGCTTGCCAAGTAAAACCATAATTGACATTTAATTAAACTCCAATTGAAAATACATGCAGCAGTTACAGACATAAATTAAAAATACAATACAAAATATAAAAGAGATAAAAAGAATTTTATAACACAAAACTAAAAGACAAAGCAAAATAAAAAACCACAAAAAACAGTCAAAACTTTAATATGACCATGAATGCACTTGTCACTCTCATTACCAACAGTCATACTGTTATAAAAATAAAAAATTAAAAAAATCACTGTCATATGCTATTGCATTTTATATAGGCTCGACCATTAAAAGGGTTTTTCTACGAGGAAAAAAGATAGTCATGAAATAGATTAAATTTGATCACTTACCTTGATTCCTTCTCCCATATTCAATTTGATTTTTTTATTGGGTAGACTAATAGGTGTAATATCATTCCTTTTGGCTTTATTGACCTTCAGTGATTTGCTTTTTTTAGCAGGAAAGTTTTCCTCCTGACAAAAACATGTAATAAAATAATTAGTCCTCGTTTATAGGTAAAAAATTCTTTACACATTTATGATCAGGTCTTCACGTAAATTGTTAAGTGTTTTAAACAAGATGTAAATGATAGAACAACGTGAATAAACTAATAACCATCTTACCTCCCTAAGATCTGTGATTGCATCCTCTTTCAAGTGATTAGTTCCATCTAATTGGAAACTATTTGTTATTTGCTTAACTTGTTCAGAATTGTCAAAGGCAAATTTTGATTGCATCTTTGGTACCAATCTTGCTTCTTCCACCATACCTTTAGCTTTCTTCTTTTTCTTCCTGTCAGCTTCATCATCTAGATAAATTATTGAGAAAAAAAGGTCAAATATAATTCGTATCTTTGAGTTCAATTTCAAATAGGCCTAATTAACAACTTATAGTCATTGCATTAGGACAGCCCTAAAAAGATCAGTGTCCCCACGTTCAGCTCTAATAAAGATATGGAAATAGTACTGAAAGGATCAATGAGATATCATACCATCCATAAGCAACCTGCATAATTCAGCTGCCTCAGCTGCTTCATCTTCTATTTCCTCCTCTGCCTGAGCCAAAGTTGGGCGTCTTCTCATTTTAAGACCCTTAACACCATCTCCCTTATCACGTTTTAAGTCATTGGTACCCTCTTCTCCTTCTTCACACTCCTCAGCATCAAGTAAATTTTCCAGATCTCCAGCAAAAGAATCCAGATCACTATTCCCTTCTGAGTCGCTTTCATTTTCATCACCATTTGCAGCTGACAAACTCTGAACTTGTCGATCCCAAATCTCCTGGCATTTCTCTCTGGTCTGCTGCTGTAACTGAAGAAAGGACATTCGCTGGCCACGAGCATATTTGCTGATAGTTGTCGGATCAACCTTAACTCCAGATGCAGCTTGCTCACTTGAAAGTTTACGTATCATAGCAATGCGATGCCACCTAGTTTGTTTTGCAATGACTTCCTCTGGAACATTGAACTTCAGAAGAACCTGGATAAGAACATACTTGAGATTAAAAACAGGAATCATAGGAATTAAATATGCAATGCTATTCCATCATTATACTTGCAGTCAGGAGTCAACTAGACACTAAGAAGATAAACTAGCCAAGTGGAGTTGTGGAAAATTAATTTGCAACTTAGCAACTACGTATAAATGTGAGAGATTACAAAACAAAGTAGTATTAGGAATAAAATCTGGACAAAATGAAAAAAATATAATGAAAATAGAAATAGAAACAGAAAATACCAATGGGCAAAATAATCATATTTTTCATAACCAAATTCAGTTTTAAAATGTAGCTGAGTTTAGTGAAAAAGGTAAGGGAATTAAAGGCAACCAAATAGGCATCTGTGAAATACCTGTGAATTCATATAATATTCAAGCACACCATCTATTGATATAGATATTAATTACAGGTCAAAACATTTTGTTGCACTAATTTCATTTCTAAAGTACAACATGTAAATCAGTTCATTACGAGATTCTCCACTAATATCAGCTTTATTTGTAACACAATTGAGTACAATATGCAAGGAAAATTTTCACCTGCCACAAAGAAAAGCTTTTTTAAACAAGCTCTATGGAATACATAAGTACATAGTTCAGTACATGTCATCAAAATACCACTCACCTCTCGTGCAGCCTCCATGCTTAATCTACGTAAATCAGCATCGGTACCAGTAACAGTAGAACCTCCGCGGTTAGCAGCTGCTTTCTTCTTCACCATTGCACTAGACACTGGTGCCTTAGGTGGTGCCCGGGCATAGCTAAAACCCATGCCACGACCAGATGGATCACCAACACCAGTAATTTCCATTCTTTCAATATTTTCCTTACCCTGTGAACAAAATATTCCACCAGACAAGGTGGAAATTCTCATGATTAATTTAGTCAACTACTAGAACAAAAAATAACAAACATAATCATAGCAGTTACAGTGTAACAAAGTTTCCTTAATTAAAAAGAGAATACCATTCATAATAATCCCTATAAAACTAGTTAAAAACAAAAATAATAGCACATTTTCAAGCTTAAAATTCTTGTATAAAATTAGAAACAAATAGTGCAAATGTGTGAAGGACCGATACAAGTCAGTAAATCATTCAGGGAGAAATTATATGTACAACAAACAAGAATAAATACAATGAGATTATTTTACAGTAGTAGGTACATCCTTCATCCTTGACTGTATCTTTGTTTTTTTTTTTTAAATTTCTCCTTCCTATTTTAACTTCTACCCTCAAAATAATCAAATGGACATATATTAACAAATTTTCAACACATAACCAGGACAGATGCCAATGCCAAAAAGACGCAAAATCTGATTTTAACATAGATCACCTGGCTTGTACAAGCAACAAAATTGCTACTCAAGTTCCAAGGAGTAATCTGCAGTTCCCTTTCAATGTGTGATGCAGCAGCCAATGCTATTGCTTCATCAGGAAGCCGACTCATTGCAGATGAAATATTAGTAGGGTGTGTTTCAGTTATTCCCAAATGTTTTAGACGGTAGAGGCCAGCTTGCATGCTTTCAAAGGCACAAACCTAAAACAATTTAAAACAAATACAAGACAACTAAGGAATCATTTTAACTTAAGAAATAACAGATACATCTTGTAACAAAGAAACAATAAACATAAAGTATCCAAAATTCTGGATGAAGATTGACAGGCAGTTAAATCACTTCCAAAACTCACAAACACAACCCAAGCTAAGCAGCATGTAGATTATATAATAAAATAAAATATGATACTCAAACTTAACAAATCACAAAAATAATACAACTATACAAAGCAAGAATACACAAGCACATTGAGTGTCCAATAAAATATATTATTGTAATAGGCAGTGCTGCCTATCATATTGTTTTTAAAAAACCTCACTTTTTCAACAGCCCAAAAGCATAGCATCAGGTATGCACCAAAAAGAACTCTTCAAATCATGCAGTTAGGGAGTTACGTTTTAGAACGCAAGTTCCAAATCTCCATAGATGTTTTAAAGATGATTTTTCTCTTTTACTCTTAATAGTGCATTTCAACAGAAAGAGATGTTTTAGTTTATCAATGAAAAAATTGAATGTCATGATATAACTCACAAGCTCTGGTGTAACCATTTTTCTCAATTCGTCCTCTGACCACATGCGAAAATTTCGCTTTTTAACCAAAATTGACTGTCCATTTGTTCCCCTCTGCAGTAACAAAGATTAAATGAAACATTCAGGTATACAGAAAACATCTACACATAAAATATAAAACATATAACAGAAATTTTCATTTTACTCTTTTTTGAAAATATAAGAGCACATTTGGTTTGAAAAAGCGTTTTCTATTTTCATAAATAATTACAAAATATCACCTTGTTTTTACTTTATTTCTTGTTTTCAAAAATCTACAAAGAAAACACTAAAAACAATAATTTTGTCATTTTTACTGTTTCTTGTGCAAATCTTGGAAGAAAAAAAAAACAGTGAAAACAATGTCAAATTTCTGTAATTATTTGTGAAAACAAGAGATGAAAACAAAATACATTTTTATAAACAAACAAGCCCTAGACCAACATGTAGTTGGTCTGAATGGAACTGGCATGGATCTCCTAAGCTAGATCTCATGTTTGAGTTTTGTAAATAAAAAAAAACTAGTTAAAAAGAGATCTCATTAAAAATGATCAATCAAATTTTCTGACAAAGATTAGTCATTTACGTTCGCACCTATAACATGGTTAACAAAAAAAAAGCCCTAACATTGTGTTTGGTAAAGCCCAAGGTCAGAGGCCCATCTTTTTAAAAAAGTGAAATTTCCCACAATTACCCTCAATTTAGAGGGGAAGTTTTACACCATGGGACCCACATTAAAATACTTAAACTTCCCTCCTCTTCCCTCATACCAAACATCTAATTTTCTAAATTCCTTCCACTTCTTCACACTTCCCTTTCCTTCCACTTCCCTCATTCCAAACATACCCTAAGGAATTCTATTAGCATCCATTTCTAATACGCTTGGGTAACTAGATTTGTGACCCTCTCATACCTGTAAATTGGCATATTCCTTGATTTTCTTCCGGAATGACGCTTCCGATTGGTAAGGAAAGTGTGAGAGAAATTCATCAACACGGATATAAGGAGGCAAGTGCCGCTTCTCTGCTGCTTGGAATTCACGGCACATGTGTACCAATAACCTGTTCATCATGTAAGTCTGGAGATTTTTACTTCCAGGAGATAATACTTCCATGAGAGGCTCCTGCAATGTGTAATTTAAAAACAATTACCACACATTACAATTATAAATTGTATTTTTTTCCTGGCATTGTCAAATTTTCGGAGCCATAGCTTTGGTAGGAAAATTGCAGCATCAAACAAGGAAAAGTTAATCAAGAGATAGATGACACATTATCCATTAAGATTTTACCAAACAATAACTCGGAGACTTGAAACAATTAACTTTCCAAACCTGCTGTCCAAAAAAATTCACACTACAAAAAGCACTTAACAAGAATTTACAAACCTGCTGTCCAACAACATTAATTTTATCAATCCGCCTTAATGATAACTTTCCCTTTGATGAACGAACCAGCAGGTAGTCCGTTAACGGAACTTTATGAGAAAATACAGGTGCTCTATACATATTTGTCTCTAGTGACGACTGACTGCAGCCAGGTTTTAAATCTCCAAGGAAAGGAGATTTATCAGCAGGATCCAGAGAAATAATGTGCCCCAAGCTAATATCTGTGTTGCGTAATAAGGAGCCAGACTGGTCATCTGGTGAGCATTTTTGATAATATGTACAAAGTCTTGCACCCATTCCAACATTACTCAAAAGTAAAGGCCTTTCTTCACAATACCTACAAAAAGAACATATTCAATGCACTTCCCAGAACCCCAGTAGAGTATTCACAGTCCTCATTTATTTAGCAAAGAACAAAGGAAAAACAAAAAAAAAAACTAGAGTATCAACATTGCAGACAAGAAATTAACAAAATATTAAAATAAAGGTAGTGCAGTGCTGAAACAACATTGCTCTTGGATTATTAGATCTGGAATCATGAGAACATGCAAACCTCACAAATTGTTATCCTATTAAAAAAAATCTTGGGACTTTTTGTACAAAGGATTTGCTTGTTACTAATATAATCTAACCCACATTCTTCTTGCAATATATTCCGTGCACAAAAAGTATAAATTGTAATGTTTGCAATAATTTTTGTTTTAACATGAGGATTAACTATTACAAGTTATGTTAGGAAGCCAGAAACAGAATGAGAATAGACTGCTTTTATTATTAAAAACTGAATATTCAAGGGTTTTCCCTTTCTACAACTGAACCACTGCCCAAATCACAAAATGCTGACAAAATTTAATGAATACTTAAACCTTTCTTTCCCCTATTTATATCTAACTAACCACATTTAATTTCCCTTTATCTTATATCTAACTCCTAACATGGTACCATCTCAGTCGACCTAAATTTCATCAAAGCTGAAAAATAAACACATGGAATTACATATTACAAGAAGCAGGATAACAAGTTGGAGGGCTGTTTGGTAAAAAACATGTACTTCCAAAATTTAGTACCAACGTTAACAGTCCAAAACTTCAAAAGAAATTCCAAAGTTCCACAAGGCAATCAAGCAATTGTCACAAGGATGAGAGTCGATGATGATAAAAAAAAGAAAAGAAAAAAAAAAAAAAAGATGAGAGTAGGTGCTTGCTTCAAGACAAGAGGGAAGCCTATCATAACATGGAAACAGATAAATCACCAGACAAAAAGACATGCAATAAGCATCAGTAATATGTGCAGGAAAACAAGAACTGAGTAGGGTCTATTATCAGGCCTTGAAGAGTTTTTATGGCTAACTGCTTTTGGAGGTTATAAGATAGGAAGGTTGTTATTGCTTATTAATCAAAAGAGAAAAACACTGCAGCGCTATATCTCTGAAAACAGTAACATGTCATTCTCAATCTTCAAAATGAAACTTTGAATCACAGCAAGTGAATAATAAATATAATAATGTACTATTCTCCTCCTCCTCCAAGCCTTCTACATTTCCCCCAACCCCTCACTCTCAACACATGAGGGAAGGGGAAGAGGGAGAGATTTGGAATAACCCAACAGATATCAAAAACAGAAAGGAAAGAACCCATAAATGGCACTTGACCATGAATGTAAGAAAAGCAATATCTCAGTCACTCTTTTCCCTTTTCTACATATGTTGATGGACTGTATTTATAATAATATGGCTTCACTTATGTAATATATTCTCTGCTCAAGATTGCTTTGAAGGAGTTATAGAGTATACCAAGATATTTAATATCTTTATTGGATTATTATCCTCCCCATAGTTGTGCCTCTCTTTTTTCTCAAATAAAGTTCATTTATCTAAGTTAAGATTCTTATTAACAAAAATTATACAAAGAAAATAGCTTGTTCTCAGTGTATAAGGTGGGGAACAAAAAACTGATCAGACATTATGCAAATTCATATCACCTAGAAGGAAAATAATGAGATAGACCCCATAAGAATAATTTGAAGGCAAATTTTTGTAACTTGCATGCAAGAGAACATAAAGAAAGAAATAGCTTGTAGCAAACCACAAACAAGAAACCTAGTACATGAAATATGAAATATGCATGCTTGCAATACGTTAGAATATAATATATCAAATGCATTATAATACATCTCTGTTATTTTTATTTCGGAGTTTCATAAAATATTTATTCCCTCCAAATCTAAAACTATATAATTTCAACACAAAATAGGAAAATAACGTTGCCCCAATGGAAAGCATGTAATGGCAAAATAAAACTTTCAAGTTACTTACTCCATCAGAAAAACATGTCCATCTTTTACAGACAGATCAGACTTTTTCTTAAATGCCCCAGGAGGACGCAAGGACTTGTTCTCACCAGGAACCCGTTGTGCTTTTGGCCACAAATGTATCTTTGTACGAACAAGATGTAACAAGGAGTTTGGCTGAACATTTTGTGCAACAAGTGGTTTGTGATCTTCAAGCTCCCTCCCTAAATAAAATATTTTCACTGTTTCTGATGCCTTAAAATCTACCAAAAAAATAAACCTCCGGTCAGCCATATACAGAAGAGAAGAAATTACACCAAAGATTAGAATAAACTTACAGCTAAATTATGATTTTAATTCCATAACAGAAATAAGAAAAATATATAGAATAAAAAATTTCACAACCTAGCTTTTTGGAAGCTTTTGCTTTAACAGAAGAGAGAGTTTCTTCAGCATCAACGTGCAGTTTACTCCCCTTGCCACCCAAACTCTTTATAATAATTTTCATGGGTCCTTGCGTAGGCAGTTTCCTTTGTTCCTTGACAGCCATCTCAATGTCATGAGGATACCATAATGCTTTTGGCCGGTGAAAGTTTGCAATATCTTTACTGAAAAAAGAGTTAATAAGATTATAAAGACAGAAAATCGACAATGCACATGAAAACAATAGATATTAAAATGCCAAATAAAAATAAAGAACTGGCATGGCTCATTCATACACAATCAACAAAGGATTTGCAAGAACTTCATAAAGAGCATAAAAATCCCAGGTTTGTTATAGGCAATTCACAGATCAACAAATGGACTAGTCTTTTGATGACTGATTACGAGCACACCAGGAATGTGCCATATTATATAAACAATGAAGACCTTCATTACAGTTCACACAGGTGACCACATCTCGGGTAACCTTGGTATGTTTCATAAATATATAGTGTATCTTAGTCTTGGATAATATGTTAAGTATGGAAAATTCTACAATGTACCCTATTAAGCTTGGTGCATCCATGCACCCTTATCATTTTAACCATTTAACTCTATTCTTTGTATTTTACTTCATATTTCATTTTCTCAGTTAACCCCAATTTTTGCATTTATTGAGACTCCAGCATGGAACAACCCAGTTCAAGTAGTGGTATTTGGCATTTGCCACAAGCTTGAGCACAGAGCATCGGTAACCTCCTGACAACAGTGGCTCAGGGTCATTGTCACGTGCAGGCCAGAGGCTTTGAGCATTAGACCGCGTTTGCCATTATGATGGCAGAGGACTTGGAAGGCAGTCAGTTCATTCTGGAGCAGAAATGGAGTTTGAAGTGAGGATGTGAGGGCTAGGCTTGTGAGAAAAATGTCAAGAGGAGGAGTGATGAACTATTAACAACTTGAGAACTGTTGCACAGAATTTGCTATGTCTAGTAAGTATCAAAGAAGTCGGCGATGTGTCAGGATGACATGTAATGTTTGTGTGCCTTTCCTGATGCATTCACTATGAGCTAGGTTCAAAACTTCAAATGCAATGAGTCATTCTCTAACAGCAGCATTGGTGCCAAGGTCTTTTTCTTGTTTAGTAAGATCCATTCTGAAGCACAGATGAAGTCATAAATCATAATTCATAAAGAGTCTCTTAGTCTTCAAGGATCAATCATTTTATGTTGTCCACAAGTTTTTGCTAGCAGAGATCATCAGAAGTTCAGCAATGACATTCTATTTTTGCTACCATAGAGGTTTTGACTGTGGATGAGGAGTTATGATGATGGACAGAAAATAAGATTTATGGAGTACAATGAAAAAAGCATTAATGATTGAAATGAGAAAAAAGAGATTTAAAGGATTAAAATGATAAGGGTGCTCCAATGCACCTTATTTTGGGTAGACCATATTAGACCAGTAAAGGATTTAGTTGGATGAATTTTTCAGTGAAAAAGCACTGAACTGTGAACTTGTTTTTATATTGAGCTTATACAAAGAGATCCATTTAATTGGTACATATTATGAACAAATCATAAACAATGAACCTAGGAAAAGATAATGAATCTAGTAATCTGTCCACTAATCATGTATTCTGTCTCTATACTAAATATTTTATTAAAATATTGTGGTACCAGAAAAGTTCACCAACGCCAAGACATACAAATAAATACAATTTTTATGAAAGAACCTGGTTCATGAAAAACTCTGGACTCAAATCATATTCTTAAAGAATAGTGCATAAAAGACAAGAAAAATAGAAAACCTACCACATTTGGAGATAGAGTGCTGTAACCATATTGGTTATCAAGTAACCAAAGAAACAACAAACAAGCTTGCATGTAAGAATTTTCCAGAATTTAATTTCTAAAAACATAATATTCTAACTAAGCAATAATGTTTCAAAACAGGTAAGACATGCTACAAACCAAAAATGATACCCCCTCCCCTCCAAATAAATAAATTCTTACTTGCTCAACTTCAATTTCATTGTCTGCAGCTTCAGTGCAGGTTGTGAGTGAAAAACTTTGACACCATGAGCGGAGCGTTTTTTGGAGTTGGATTTAAGTTGCTGAGAAGTTTTACGGTTTGAATAATGTTTGTCATTAGCAACGTATCGCCATCCATATTGACTTCCATGTCCCAGTAGCTCAGAAGAGTCCCCACTGCTTGATTTCAAAGAACGGGTTAAAATCATAGCCCCAGCATGAAGGCGAAGATGTGTACCATCCTTGCTATCTAAAACTTCAAAGTGCATTTGATCATCCTGAAGATCAAAAATAAGCTTTGGTTTCACCATCGGTTGATCAAGCTCCTCCCATATTATCTTGTCTAACCAGGAACCCTCCATCATGTCTCTGTTTTGTGACATAACCTTGGTAAAACGCTTTACTTGACCACTTTGATTATGCTCAGATATCTCCGCCTCTCTGGCATCTGCAAGACTAGAATTATCCACTTCAGATCTGGATTCTAGCCTTAAAAGTTGCGGGTGAAATAGATTTCTGGATATTAAATTGGTCTCAGATCCAGAAGAATCCCTTGAGCCAAAGGGCTCTAATGAGACAGGAGAGCTGCACATGAAAACATTATGATCTTTATCCTCTGGTATCTTCTGAGGCACCATCTGAATAGTCTGGATCCCACTTTCTATTTCCATTTCACTGCCACCAGAAGCTCCCAACTCAGGTCCAGAAATTTCACAGCTTTCAACATTATTATTACTTGGAACAGGAGAATTGCCCCAAAGGATTTCATCTTCCCAGTCTTGCTGATCAAGAGGATAAAAGTCAGCCCACATGAAAGGATGATCTTTCAAGTAACGCTCTTCTTCAAAATCCTCTTTCATTGGTTCAGCACTAAGACACGAGTCCTTTGGTTGTTGATCATCTTTCATGGCCACTGAGGCATCCGCATGAAGAAATCCAAATTTTGGAAACTCCAAGTCAACATCATTGCTTTCTGACATGTCATTATGAACTACACAAACCTGTTTAGTGAGTGAGAGATTCTGGGAGAAGCTCTTGAGGAATTCCTCTTCATCCTCTTCTACTATATCATCAGTTAAATCCAAAGGCTTGTATCTATCTGAAAACATGAGGGGAGGAAAAAAGCCAATAAGGACAGAGGCCACACTGACAAACACCTCAGAAGATAGCATTCATTTGCCATTAAAATCTCACCATTGACAGTTCTAAATTTCATTCGCATACAGTATAATTTGTGCAACAAGTATTTGAGTTATCCAATCATACCTCTCCAAGAAGATTTAACAGATTCTGACACATGAAAACAAAATTCAGGTAAACAATCCCAATCTCCAAGTACCTCTAGGAATAGAATGTCGATGTTCTCTCTTTTCTCCCTTCCTGAGAGGTTCATGAATGCCAAAGATTTCAGAGAAGCGTAAAATTGCCAAACCATCTTCCACATATAAAATAGGCAATGGCATAGCCGTTGACCTTTTCTGAACTTCAGGCCCTTCCTGATTGTTTCATCAAGAAAGAAGACATTAACATGTCAATAGTAAGTCAACCAAGATAATTTTATAACCTAGTCAATAAAAACTACAAACAATGTTAGAGAAAAATATTAGTGCTTGCCTAACTAGTTGGACTGGGCTTATAGTAGTGTAGTACACCCATAATAAACATGTACTAAACCTATAACTAATAGTATAAACACACACAGATGGAGCCAAGCTAACCATCAAGTTAGTGCATTACATCATACAGAAATCCTTTCTCTTTCATACTCTCCCACCCCACTTTAGCTTTTTACAATCAATTCAGCACCAAACTGAAACAGCATCCTAATAGTGAAGAGTTATGTGCAATTATGCATATTGTCAAGTAGCAACTGTCCAAAACCTTTAATTTTTTGCCACAAGTTTGTATTTCTAGCTTGCGCCACATCACCACTACAACAACCAAGTTTTTTCCCAATAGACAGGATCATATACAAGGATCAAACAGCACCATAATGTCCCCAAGAGCATTTTATATTTGAATTTAGTGTTTGTTTGGATTATATTATTTGGTGTTCAAAACAACTTAATAAACTTAACCCTTGTTTGGGGGGAGGTGCATGGGGCAGCTATGTTTCTCAAAAATGAATCAAAAGGGCCTAAATTATGAAGAATGAGGATCAGAAGGTGACATTGGCAAGGATTGAACTCCTTAGCATGGTAATCAAAATCGAGAGTTAACTTGTAAAATCGTACAAGTTTACTATCACAGGCATCTCAACCGAGTCAAAATGCATGCAGAATCGTTTCTGCACAGGCTCAGTTAAAATTGAGCAAGCACAAGCAAACTCGCGTAAAAATGCAAGTTTATAGCCAATTGCTCGATTTTCAGCTGTTGGCCAATTTTTTGGTCCAAAACAATACTCCTCTGGTTTGCTTTGGCACACACTTAACAATTGAGAATCTTTAGGGATTACTCTGTTCCTTGTTAGACTTTTTCACTCCAAGCCATCCATTTGCACTTTGCTCTGTTGAGGACAAATGTCATCAACACTGGTTCATGTCGTCAAGCATGGTCTTGGAGCACCCATTCAAGGCAGACCTGCTGGAGGTCTCTGGTTGTTGAAGACGACCTATTCTTGGGGATCGGATCTGGTCATGTCCTTCCAAGTCCACCATTCACTTGGAAGATCATGGTCTCTAACTAAAGACCCATTTACACTGAAGAAGCCATTTGAGTTTAATTTTTTACTATTGTCTTCTACGGATTAACAGATATAAGTTATAATATTGTCTGAATTGCGATTTTATTTTTATTTGGTTGTGTTTGGTTCTATAATATTAATATATTAGTATTTTAAATGTTCTTATTTTAAGGACATTTTTATATGAACATTTTTTAAATTTATATATGATCAAACAATTATTTTATTATTATTGTGATTTCTTATTTTTTTCTTTATTATTGAGTTGAAATGTTGAACTATTATATTATTAGAAGTATTATGTTTCGTACATATATGTTACTTATAAGATTTTTAATATTATTTGTAAATTAACTAATCTCTTACGAGTTTACAAGTCAAGTTTATTGAAGCTCCACAAGTTTACGTAAACTCTCGAATTTGACAATCTTAACCCTAACACATGGTCACGGCTCAAGACACGACCATAAACAGACAGCGTTACCATTCACATCAATGTAGTTTGAGTACTATTTATACTATCATAGGCAGCTTTAGTTCAAAAATTACTTATGAGTTACGACTTATATTTTCTTTTTGGACAAATTTCTCTTAGATTCCCAATGTAGTTCGAGTACTATTTATACTAACATAGGCAGCTTTAGTTCAAAAATTACTTATGAGTCACAACTTCTATTTTCTTTTTGGACAATTTCGCTTAGATGCCCAAAGAGTAGCCTGATTTTAATGATCTCCTACTTTTAATAAGGGTTCCATCTTGTATAAAGGAATTTAAAAGATGAATAGGATGAATCAGCTTTCTTGATAACAGAAAACATTCTTCTATTTACCCTGCTGCTTATTAATCAGAAGATCAGCTCTCTTTTAGTTTTAGCAAGTGCACATAATATCAACTAAGCCATCCATCAATTTTTTTTTTATCTCAATTGCTGCATTAATTTATATTCTCATTTGCAAGTCTACAAGTAACCTAACACAATTCGAATTTTGAGTTTGGACATGACTAAACCCCAAAAGCTAGCTCAAGAGATGAGAATTATCCCTCACTTGAATACACTATTTTTGCTGAATTTCTAGTCGATGTGGAATCTCCAACCTACCTTATTACACTAAAGACTGAATATCTTGAGCATGAAATCCACTAGACTAAACATTTGTAGGTAGTCTGACAACAGCCTAATAACATGTGCCCAATAGACCCAACAACAATTGTTAGGATATGTTTTGATATCATCTTAGAATTTTTAAGTTTGTGTCTAACTCAACTTCAAAAGCTAGTTTAAGAGGTGAGAACTGTCTCTCACTTGCATACACTATTTTCTTCATATTCGTAGTTGATGTGAGATATGTAACAAACACTTAAGTAGTCACTATACAACTTGAAGGTCATATATGGTTGCAGAGTCAAATCAGCATATATATTCATTTAATTAACAGAAAAGTAAAGAACTTAAATATCAATCATGAGAATTGTTAGAAGATATGAAGAATATCCATTGATATTCAGATTGCATCTTAGAATATCTTAACTCTCCACCTTGGGCGGTCCTGTTAATAAAAAAAAAAATATATATATATATATATCTTAACTCTTAGAATTAGTTTGCATACTTCCTAATTATTCATGATTTATTTCCTCATTTAGCTACTGGGACTTCAGATTATGTTATGATTCAGTATAAGAATAAGTAATGGTTGGTGCTTTATGTTCTGTACCGTATTATAACACGTAATATGAAATCAAGTCAAATATCAATCTCAGTGTATTCAGTCTCTTTTTTATATCTTCCCTCCCTTTATATCTAAAAGGCTAAAACCCTATAATTTCAACAAGAATAAACATCAGAAGCCAAAAAGAAATATTTAAGAGGCAGCAAAAATGAAACAGACCTCCTCAAGTTTTTGTTCATCAGCATCCAATTCTTCGGTCTGCAGTGAGTCAACATGTAATTCATGTTCAAGAGAACTCTCATCCTTAGATGCATCCACAAAACTCTCTTCCTGCTCCCCTGAAAGAACAAAGCCAGCATATGTGAACTGCAAGATTCCAATATTGAATGCGGTTCATCTACCATTTATTAAGGAAAACCAAGCTTTCTTAATTTTCTTTCCAAAGATTTTCAAGCTTCAACCCTCGCACAATGAATAGTTGTTGAATTAGTTACACTATTTGATAAGGCATTAAAGCTTTAGCTCAAACACAGCTATCATTGTTAAGACTCAACATTGACTAGTGGACTAAGTATATGGTGAAAGTGTCTTTATAAAGACTTGGGAATCCCATTGAACTAGCTTTTGGGATGGTTTGGCCAAGTCCATTCTCAAAGTCCCTCACAAGAACAGTCAAGCAAACTTCATGCTCCGGATGTTTGGTCTGGGGCATGAAAGGGGTGTTGTTAAGATCCCACGTCAGCTAGGTAAAAGTACTCCTTATAAGGTTTTGACAATCCTCTCCCCTTGAGCTAGTTGTCGGGTTGAGCTAGGAAGGCTCATTCAAATCTCAATTCTAATAACTATATCCAAATTCAAGAAGATTATTCAAGTTTGAAACTCAAGCTCAAATTTCGCTCAATTTAATATTAAATCAACATATAATTAAATTGAGCTAAATTAAATTTATTCCATTCATTGACAATTTACAGTATAACCTAACTACTAATTCTCAGTCAATCTGCTTACAAGTCAATTCAAGCTTGAACCAGTTAAGAATGAAGCCTATATACAATAGTTAGATTCAAATAGTACCATTCATAAGTGGGATTTTATATTTTTATGTATTTCAAACATGGTGCAAATCAATTTCCCAAAGGATAGGTATTCTTTCCCTTTGTCAGTTAAATTAAAAAATATGAAATTAGCTCACAATAGAACCTGTGCCTACTTGAACTCATGCACATTCAATTTCTAAATAGTATGTGTCCAACAGAATGCAAATATATCACTCACTAGTTCAGGTTGGCATATAAGTCATAAAGGAGCTGGTAAAGCATACTGAATGTGATTAAACAATCACATGGCAAAAAACAAAATGCCTAATAGACAATCTATGAATCAAATAACATCTACACATCCAAACCGGTTCTCTGCAAAAGCGAAAGAGAACTATCTCTAAGGTGCAAAAAAGAAGAGCCACAAAAAGTTTTGAAAGATAAAAAAATCAAAGTGCTCTCATGCATTGTCAACAATACATCTGTCTCCAGTCAATATCTGAGCAAGGCTGCAACTAAAATGCAAGAGCTAGATTACAGAACCCAACTTTCTTGCACTTTTATGAGAAACAAAACCAACATAAATACATAACATGCATAAAGTACACAAAACAAAGTACAACAGCAGTAACAATGCAGTGCAATTCATGTATAAAATATTACCAGCTAAAGAGATGTTATCAACTTTAGTATCATCATTCACAAAGTCTTGCTCCTTTTCAGATTCTTCATCATAATTTTCATCATCAAAGACGGAACTTTTGGACTCCAAAAGAACAGAGGCTTCACCAGCAAAAAATTCCTTTTTTGGCAATAAATAGTCCTCTTCATTGGCAGCTTCTGTCTCAGGACCATCATACTCTTCATCAATATCTTCATAATCAATAGCATCTTCAGCTTTTTCATCACAGCCTAAGATTAAAAGAATTGCAGTTAGTAAACTATTTTACAGAAGAGGGGAAAAAGAAGTTGGATTATTTTACTCTTTTAACCAAAGCTTCATTCACCAAATTCAAACTATATTACAGACAAGACAACAAATGCCTCTGTTGTGCATTAGCTTTATCAAATGAAATTCCCAAGGAAGAAGAAATGTTAGAGCAGAAGGATCAGGAATCCTCCCGTCAGAAAATAATAATAACAAATTAACTGAATATCAGCCTGAAATACTCTCAAATCCCTGTGAATCTGTCAAAGTAACTAGTTAAATAAATTAAGAGATCCAAATCAAAACCGAACCCTAGCATATGACATGACTAGGTCTTTCTATGAGAGAAACAAACATTGGCATAATGACCTATGCAGGGAATATTGTGGGGCCCCATGTAGGAATTTTACGGATGACACACAAGATGACCTAGTCATATGAGAACCTTGTAAGAAAGGATCCAAATCCAGACACCAAAAAAATTGTGAAACTATCCTAACCTAAATAAAATTCACTAGCAGAAGCCACTCACTGTAATTTTCCTGCATTTTGCTTTAAAATGCACCAAAACCCGTAAAAAGAGCTCAGCTGCATAAAACCTTAACATCCTTATACTGGTCAGATCCCAAAAAGGGTTCAATAAAGTCTTTCATAAATCAATTCATTTCGGCTAAAATGCAATTCACCTAAGGAAATTCATTTTGGTGCAAACAGAAGCCAAGGAGCACCTAGCACCTACCCATATTTTAGGATCCAACCAATAGCCATGTGACACTATTTGACATTAATGAATGACTATTATCCACACATGTTCATCAATCCGAGTGATAAGCCATCGCTGAAACTTCATATCAGCTTGTTTTCTCAATCTACTTCTATTGACTTGTGCCACCAGCCTTACTAACCCCTAGCATCAGGCATAACTACTGATGTTTTAATTTTACAAAAACAACTTTTTGATAAAATAGTTTACAGAATGGAGAGTCACACCAAGAAGGGTCAACTCTAATCATATCATGGAGGATATATAAAATATGCAAAAACTTCTTCTTTGACGAGGAAAGAATTCCAGTCGAAATAAAACACAGACGAAGTGCTCTCAGTTGATGAGGGAAAAAAATGATACCAACAGAATATCAAAAACTGCATGATATAGTTTTTCCTGGCAGACAACTTCACCTTGTTCAACAACGTCAGGTGGCGTTTGTGGTGATTTTCCTGACAACTGCAAACAACAAATTACCATCATCATCATCAAAATAAAAAAGTGGAAGAAATGAAATATAGAGGAAAAATTCATAATTAAACACTTCTTAACCATGTCAATAGAGAGCATTTTGAATTCCAAACTCGAAAATACAGCAAGATAATGATAGATTTACTTACATCTATATCTGTCAGAGATGGACCCAGCTTATCAGCTAATGCAGAAAGATGCTCCTTTGCATCCTAAAAAGGAAATATGCTTATTTAGCACCAGATTTACGGTTTTTCACCAAAGCACATAAACATAATTAAACCAAGAAGCATAACAACAATATAGAATATGCAATTGCTCATCTTACTCTTCAAATTGCACAATAAACTCAGCTGTAAATTTCAAAGCTTAAAACACAATGATCAATTTTATCTGTTAAGCGACAACTTGATGTAAACATTGTAGTGTCATGACTATTCGTAAAATTGATTTTGAAGTGAAATAATTTATGTTTGAATGTTTTAACCTTGAAAGCAAGTTTGATACGAAATTTATAGTAAATTTTTCAACCTAACACAGAATCTAGTTTTATTACTTCTAGTCAAACTGAGGTTTGAAGGCAAAATTGATTCTATCCAATACCAAAACATTTGCCTTTTCCCTAAAATCATGTTTGACAAAAGGCAAAATCAACTCTGAAACTTTCCACTGTGAAACCAAATACACATGTAGCAAATAATCAACCTATCTTTGCAGTTTGCACACTTAATACTAATTTTTTCCAAAATTGAATTGCAAATAATTTTCTTAATTTAGACTTTAGACTGGAGTTGTTCACGGATACGGGTAGCCATGTACCCAACCCAACCCAAACAATATGGATCGGGTATTTTTAGTGTTCGGGTAACATTTGACCCAACCAAATTAAACTCAATGTTCTTTGGGTTATATATTGGATTTCAGTGTTGAAACTTGAAAACCCAACCCAGTAAATAAATTTACACACACACACACATAGATAGATATATATATATATATATGTGTGTGTGTGTGTGTGTGTGTGTGTGTGTGTGTGTGTGTGTGTTATAAAAAAATGGTTACTTGAAAGATAAAAAAATACACATGACACCACATTGTGTACATACATACTCACAGGAGAGCTGGGAGGGCTGCCATTTGGGATTCACAGTTCAGTAATTTATCTCACTTCAATCTCTTTCCTATCTATGTTATTTACCCTTCTTCCTTTCTTGCCCAATTTCCCTAACCTAACCCTAGATGCATATAATGTAATGCAAATCACTATTTCAAGAAACTTATTGATTTGATTGTCTTTTATTATATAATATATTTGTAATTTTATTTTATTTTTAAGCCGAGACCTTATAATATATTAATTAAAATGTGAAGGTTTGCATTTCATCTTGAATTATGAGGGCTGCTAATAGATGGACACATTCAAAATGACAACCCAAATTTGTATATGACATCAAGAATGTGATATGTTCAAAAAATATTGGTTGATTCTACTAGTAAGTCAATGTCCATTGAGTTTCAATTTAATCACAATTTTCATAAACACATTGCATATGCTCTGCAAAAATCTCAAAACATAACATTGACATTTGCACTCGGTCTTATATTATAGGTTTGAACACCTTTAAACTAAGGCTTCAATGTCAACACAATTGCATAATTATCTCACACCAGAAATGGATTGTATATTCTTGAATTAGGTTGAGTCTATAATTTTTGTGTTGAGTTCTCATACAAGAACAAAATTATAGTGATGGCACTACTAGATCCATATATGTATGAGTATAACAGAGGATGGCCATGATAATGGCAAAAAGAAACTTTGAAAAGGGTAGTGTTTGATGCCATTGGTAAAGACTATTATAACGATTGATAAAAAAATGTTATTAGCTTTAATTTTTCATACCCAATAACCCAACCCATCCTATTGTTTGTTGGGTTGGTTCAGGTTAGGCTTGATAATAAAAACTATGCAGACCCAATCCAATCCATTTTAATCAATCAGGTAACGGGTTGGATGAAACCAACCTAAACCTACCCATGAACACCCCTACTTTAGATTTCCACACTGAACACAGGCTTCCAAAATGCCTACATCTTTTGTACTTTGAGAAGTTGCAATCCAACTTCCAGTTAAAGCATATCCCCCACAAAGTTTGTATCTCAAACACAGTGGTTTTGAACCTTCTAATAACCCTCTACTTGCCAATTATAAAACTAGAAAGGCTTAGGAATTTCAGGAACTTTGAACTGCATAACTATCTAAGATGTACTTAGGGGATGAAGGAAGATAACAGTAACACTGTAAAAGACAGTCAAAAAAATAAACAAAACCAATCTAAACATGATATATCCATGCGTCGGCTCATCCTGATTTTCCAAATGTTTTGACCACCAAATGAAACGTAACATCAAAGGCTGCATAAAATTACCTCATCAAGATAATCAACATCCAGATCACCGGAATTATCTACATTTCCAAACATGAACCCAAGAAAACGATTACCCTTGCCAGACTCCTCATATTCTTCTTCATCATCTATCAATTCAAATTTATCAAACATGGTGTTAACAAACTGTACCAGACAAGAAACCAAATTAACACCAGAACACCCCGAAACTCTAACATGAACTTTTTAGCTTACAGATTTCAGCATATAGACACTAAACCATTCAACCGTACTCCGAATTCTAAGCCAAATATTAAAGAGAGGAGGGCTTAAATATAACAGTAAGCAGCCAGTACAAGCAAAGGTTCTGTGCCTACAACTACAAAACAACTAGACTATAGGTCCAATTATGCATCCCGTTGACCCTGTTATACCAATTTCCTTTTCCTTTTCTTTTCTTTTTTTTTTCTTTCTTTTCCCTGTTCTTACCACTTCTCAGGCTGCTATTACCCAATTTTCTTTGAACAAACTCACCTTCGTCCCTCCCATCTTGCGAGGGGCTATCCGAATCGTAACCCATGCTGTCTGAACAGAGCTATGTCGCAATTAAGCACGGAAATCAATAACTCATCGAAGCACAGCAGCTACGGCGCACAATTCGAGCAAAAATCAATTCCAATTACTGTCCTCTTCTCGTTGAGCCTTGTGCACCGGTGGCTCTTCCACCGGATCAAAGACCTCGAAAACCCTATTTAAACTTCACTAACGCCGTTTCACTATGCAAATTTCCTCGGAGTTCGCAAAAGAAAATGAAGTTCGCAAATTAGGTTTCCTCCGTCGCCGCCGACGAGATTCAATTCGGTGAAAAGCAGTGGCTGGACCTATTCGTGAACGGAGGAGAGTTTCCGGCGAATCGGAGATTCGAGAATTGAGTTACAGCTTATTGTCGCAGCACGGTGTTATTATTTATTTGAAAGTGCGATCGTTCATTGGGGGAGGGGCACGGTATCGTATGGTGTGGGCCAAACACTGTTATAAAATCTGCCTCCGATGGTGGGTATTTATAGAGCAACTCGTATCTAATAATCCAAATAAATAAATAACACCAACTATGTTAATATTACAGTAATAATAAAATAGTCTCGAACATGTAACAGAGAAGAAATAATATTTTTAAAAATGAAAATAAATATATAGTAATAAATTATTATAGTATTAAAATAATGAAAATTAAAAATTAATTAGAGACGTAAGGTTTTTAAAATTTCCAAGAAAAATATTTTAAAATATATAAATTAAAATATTGCAACTTTATTATTTAATGTATGAAAAACAAAATTTCAGAAATTAAATTCAAATTAAGATTGAAATATTCTTCAAAATTAAATTATCTAAAATACAAAAAAAAAATTGTTTCTTAATAACAGGAAAACAATATTTTAATAAATATGTAAATTTCAAAAAGACTTTTAAAATAATATTAGAAATGTTGATTAATATTTAATATATATATATATTGTAATATTTAAACAAATTTAAAGTAAATAAAATTAACACTAAAAATAAATATAAAAATATTGATTAAATTTAGAAAAAATAAACAATAGTGAATTAATACTACAATTTAAGAAAAATATATTACTAAAATAATATTTTAATAATATATAATCAAAATTCAATATTTTTATATAAAAAGTGTTAAAAATTACATAAAGTAAAAAAAATTTGTTGTTCTAAAAAAATATTATTTTACAAATAAAATAATAAAAAATATATGAAATAAATTTTTAAAAAAGAAAAATAAAAGATATTTATATTCATGCATAGTGTGAAATCTAATTTTCTCATAAGTTGAATAATTTATTATGCACTTATCATTAATTCATGTTATATATTCTTTAAAGTGTATGGCATAATTGTGATTCTTATATATTTAAAAAGGAGAAAAAAGATAGCAGACATAGGTTAGGATAAGTGATTAAGTTTTTCCAATGTTACTTAAATTAGGCTAAGTGGTTTACTCTTATTTGGAAGATTTTGAATGTGTTTAGGAAAGTTGTAAAAATATTAGATTATGTTAACAATTTATTATATAAATAATTGATTATTATTATACTAAATTATAATTGAAATGAAATGTTATTTAAATAAATTTGTTAATAAATAATTTTAAGATGCTTAATTTTGTTTTTAAAAAATTATGTAGTAAATTAACTTAAACAACTGTTAAAAATAATTATAAATTTTTTATTTATTTTGGTGGAAGGAAAGGGGAAAGTGTCCCACTGAAGTCCAATTAAAATTTACGTGAAAAAAGACAAAAAAAAAATAAACATATCGAAACATTTTCAAATTCTATTTAAGAAACTTCCCAAAATTAATAATTATACTCATAACATGTGAGTTTTCAATTATATAAATTGCTAACAATTATACCTAATAAAATATAGTACATGCAAAATATATTAAGGTTCTGAATGAAAAATCTTTTCAATAGACACTTGTAAAAAAAATAGAAAATAAAATAAAATAAATTTTTCCATGGCCTAATTTGTAAAAAAAAATTCTATTAGGTTTTTCAAAATCTCATTTTTAACTTATATATAAATTAGTTTTAATTTATAAATTTTTTTACTTTTTCTACTAAAAGTATTTCTAAAAATTTAGGTAGAAATTATTATCATATCGCCATGTAAAATTATTAATCAATTGTCCTATAAAATAAGGTGTCATAAACAATAATATGTGGATGTCAACATTAAGACTTTGTTATCTTTGTTAATTACGTTTACAATTGTGTCATTGTTAAAAATAAAGTTAGGTTAAAACATGTAATATGTAAAACTGTTAACTTCATAGATTTTGTTATTTAATTGGTAGACGCCAATGACATCTCTGGATGAATAAAACCTTGAGGGAAAATTGATCTCTAGGTAGATAGGTTGGAGATAGAGGTGTAAACTCATGATAGGTACAAAAAGGAAAAATTTCAAAGGAGACTTGTAATTCCTTATCTTTCAAAACTTTATAGAGAAGCAAATGAACTCAAATATTCTTCTTCTCTTTTTGAAAATCTTTATCTTTCCTACTCTTGTAGCTATAAATTCAGAGTAAGAGGCTTAAATAAAAGTTTGTAAAAGTGGAAGATTTTAAGTTGGAGTCGTATAGAGTTTCTTAATCTTTTCCTCTTACGAATTGATTTTTGGAAAGGTAAAAGAAGCTCGTGTTGTGTGTGTGAATCTTGTGTAGATTGTATTGTATGATTCATCTTATTATTGTTAAGGAAGATGAGATGATGATTTTCAGTATAGTGGTGGTTTGAAGTTGTGGGTTTGTTTCTCAAGGATTGTTCATCGAGGTTAATGCTTGATTATTGTCTAAAGTGGTTGCATATTGTTTTGGATGATGAAATATGTTGTATATATGTTGCTTATAACATTGCATGTTGTTGGGGTTGTTGCATTTCAGGTAGATCGGATGAAATTGAGTTATGCACAAGTACAAAATCTAGTATTGCATCAGGCACACCTTTAGGACGCCAAACGTGACTCCAAAGAGAGGTCTATGTCTCACTCACACCAGACATAGGATTGGTGGCACTGGACACAAGGAAAGAGACTCATCTCAGGTTTGATTCACATTAAACATGGGTTGAATATAGTCAAATGTGCAAAGAGAAACTCTTTTCTATCTGGATTCATGTTGGATGCTAGTGAAGTAGCGTCAGGCATGAGTCAAACAAAGACTTTCTGCCTGATTTAGGGTTGGGCATGGGTTTTGTCACGTTAGGTGCGAGAGTAGAGCTGTCAAAGTGGACCGGGACCCGTGGGCCAACCCGACCCACCTTGAAAACGGGCCGGGCCGGGCCAAAAAAATTGAAGTTTTATAGTAAGTGGGTATATCTCAACCCAGCCCACTTTGACCCGGCCCACCCGGGCTAAACCCGTGGTGGGCCAGGTGGCCCACCAACCCACCAATTTTTTTTTGCAATAAAAATTTAAGTATGATGGTATATTGAATTTTTTTTTTTAGACTTTTATCATGATTTGTATTTAATTTTGTATGATGAATTATGACTTGTGATTATTAATGATGTTAATTTTATGATTATTATGTTAATTTATAATTAATTTTAAATTTTAAATTTTGTTGATAATTATTTTTTAATTTTTGGTGGGCTGGTGGGCTGGCCCGTATAACTCACCAACCCGTGGTGGGCCGGGCCGGGCCAAAATTTTTTTTAGAAAATCACAAGTGGGCCGGGTTGGGTTGGCTCGTTTTTAAAGTGGGTCAAGGTGGGCCGACCCACATGGGCCGGGTTTTTGACAGCTCTATGCAAGAGTATGGGACACTCTCCTACCTCAACCATGTTAGGTGTGAGTGGTGCAACGCCAGACATGGGCGAGATAGGGAGTTCCTTGTCTCAATGGTGTCAAACGCGAGATATATGATGAAATTTTGCTACTTAAAGTTGTTTTAACAATTGATTGATGATAAATAAGTGTATTAGTAATGCTGTAAGGTGATATATGTGATGATATGTAGTAAGTTGAACATGATGTAAAGTTGTAAGTTATTTTAAGCTGCTTAAACTATTTTTTTATGTTGTTATATTAAAGTTGTAAATGTTGCAAAAATGTGCAATGTGTAAGTTGTGTAGTTGTTAAGTTGAGAAATTATAAACATGTGGATTAAATAATAACTTAGTTGCGATATGTAAAAACCAATAGGAAGTAAGTTATTTTTTAAATTATAATATCTCATTATACAAATATATGTTAAAATGCTTTAAGAATTTGATTGAAATCTTTCAGTAAAATAGAAATATTGTAATAATAACTTATTATATATATATGCAATCATATAATAAACATTTTTTTATTTTTACAAAAAAAATTCATAAAATATTATTCATCTTTGTGCGCAAAGTCAAAAAATTATAATAATTTAATAAAGAATATATAAAACAACACATTCTTTTCAATAAAATATAAAATTAGTTAAAATTCATTAAAAATTATAGAATTAGGATAGGCTCATTATATAAAAAATGAGACCCATAAAAATATGTAATTTTTAATAAATTTTAATTAATAATAAAAAATGCATTTAAAAATAATATATAGTGAATATTTTCCGTAATGTTAGCTAAAAATAAAATCTCCAATTATAAATGAATACAATTCATATAATATAGTTTGTATTTTTCTTAAAAAATTGCTCAATATTTTTTTTGTTATAATACTTTACAAATGTTTTTTTTAAAATAATAAGGAAAAAGTTAATGAAAGGTTTACATTAATTTGATATAGACAATAATGTTATTCACTAGACATATAAGACTTAATTTTATTATGTTTCAAAACTTCTTTTATGATTAAGGCAAGAAAATGCTCGGTACATATTTATCACAAATTTAAGAATAAAATAAAAAACTTCATGGGTGAAAATTCAGAGTTTAGTAGTAAAAAAATAAATAATTAAAAAAACGATGTCAATTTTAAACCATATACATGTTGTAAAAAAATATATACATAAATGGCATAGGTTAATATATGTTTTCACACTTTTCTATTTACGTTCACTTAATCAATTAATATCTCGGTCTTTTCTATTTACTTTCATAATTTCACAAGTTATACACTACCATTCCCATATAAGCTACACACTATCATTGCCATTAAGCGTATAAATGTATTGTGTTGGGCAGTGAACAAAGGAAAAAGAAGCAGCAAAACCTAATCGAAGACATTCGCATTCACCCCACGCGTGAGTTCCTTCTCCATCCCCTTTCCTTTTCTATTCCGCATATGCATAATTAACCTAAGTCAAACGCTATCACCCACCATATATGTGCACTGCGTCTTCAATTACTAACGATGTTTTTTGGGTATGATAATTTGAATGCCACTTCAAATTAGGGTTGTGCCTGATTCATTTCTCATTTTCTCAATGTATCGTCTCAAACCAAGGAAAAATTAAAGTGATTTTGTTGATTTTTGTTCTCATAAGTCTAGGTCAGAAAACTAAACTAATTTGTGCTGGTCTATTAGTTTGTTTCCATGTGTGCTTGTAAGTCGAATTTGCACCTGGCCATCAGAATAGGCCAATGCGGTTGAGTGAGTTAGTGGATAAATTAAATTACCTCTCTTAATTGGTTATCGCAGCCTTTCAATTTTGCCTCAAAAACTGTGCGTTTTGGTAGCCTGGTCAAGAATGTTTTAGGTTTTGAACCCCATACCTGTTCTTTGATCACGGTAGATCCTTCTTTATCTGAAGCTATTGACAATTCAACATGTAGTTGAGTGATGGTCGATGCCTTGTGTTGGGCGCGTTGTATTTACTTTGATGATTTGAAGAACGTGCTGACTTTACCTGCACCTGTTTGATGAAATTCTCGAACTTTTTAAAAATAAACTAATGGCGCTTGCTCGTGAACATATTATGTCATAAGGTTAAGCAGCTGTTAACATTTGATCAGTTGACATCTAAAGTTTCGGTTGTTGTTCTTGCTTATTATAAGTTGCATGTTATCATTCTTGATTGAAAACAATGATAATTTTGAATTTATAATATCAGGGTTTGATGGATTTTAATTTTTACCATATTAGGTTCATGACCAGGAAAATTTTCACTTTATATAATTTATATTCCCTATCTGAGATCAAATTTAGTTGTTGGATCTCTGTATCTGTTTATTGGGTGCTTGGTATTATTAGCAATGTTCCCGCCTCTTCCTTTCCTTTTTGATAATGCTCCAATACATTTTTTGTTGTTGTGTTTCATAGCTTTAGTCATCACATATTATTAATGTGCCATATATCTTCAGTAAATAAGATCAGGCTAGGAGACAGCTTGAAATCTTTTATTGCTAGCTACTGTTCTTAAGCTTTAATTCCATAGGTCTTAATTTCCCTTGGGATCTGTAATTATGATTACAAAAATCTTATAGTTTTTTTTTAAAAAAAAAACGAGCAGGCACAATGGACAGTGTAGTTGATTCTCTGAACAATGCCTATCAAGATTTTGTTGCTGCAGCAGCAAATGTGCTAGAGGCCAAAGAAAATGCTGGTTCCACTAAAACAACAGCAACTGATACTGCTCTAGAAAACTTTAAGCAGAAATGGGAATTGTTTAGAGTAGCATGCGATCAAGCTGAGGAGTTTGTGGAGTCTGTGAAGCAAAGAATAGGATCCGAGTGTCTGGTGGATGAGGCAACAAGGCCTGTGGCAGGAAAACCTGGACAAGCTACCATGACCGGTCTTCCCCCCATCAGTGCAGTTCGGTTGGAACAAATGAGTAAAGCAGTTCGATGGCTTGTGATTGAGTTGCAGCATGGCTCTGGAGCTAGTTCTGCTAATTCAGCACTTTCCCATCCCTCAGCTCCATTTGATGCCAGGTTTTCTGAAGATGCTGCTCAGTAGCATTAATGTGACTGTGGTGGTGATTAATTAATGTTATATATTTCTCATGCTGATGGAGCTTAGACTAAACTGCTTTAGGCATTTTATACAAAATTATGTTTTAGCTTTATGTTAAACTTTAAATAATGCAACTTATGTGCATTGTGCTTGGCACAACACAATAATCCTAAATTTTATGTTGGGAATAATTAATATATTTTATCCAAAAAATGACAATCTGTAAGTTATGCCTACTAAATATTCATTATGAATTGATTAACACTGCAAAATGATGTCATGTCGTCATAGTCTGCAATTCCTAAACTGCATTGGTACGAAGGCCACACACAAACTAGACGTTATGATGCAAAGAAATTGATAACAGAGGATCAATGAGGTCTTCAACAGTTTGTTTAAATTAATTACACTCCTAAAACATTGTGAATCACACACACTCGGTCATGCAGTGCACACAAGCACACACACTCAATCAACTAAATATGAAATAATTTCCTATTGTTCACATGGTGGCCTCCTGGGGGATTGGAGACCGTATTTACAGGGAAGAATTGCACACTGGCCCACTGAAGACTATATTTTAAGTTGTCAAAACAAATTGAGACTAGGATTCATGTAAGATGTGTGTAGTCAACAAATCCATGTTCACCATCTAGAAGAACCTTGATGACTTTACTCTCTATGTCTAGGTAGTGGCAATAATAAAGAGCATAAAGGTAAGGCCTAGGATGACAAGCTACCCATTTAGGGGGTTAGATATCCTTTGATATTCCTAGAACAGTTTAGTTTTGCAAAGGACTTCTGATGTTGTGGTTTTAAATCCACATGGATCAATCATTTCTTTCACATCTTTGCCTTGAGGAGAGTCTTCTCAGAGTAAGAAGAGAAAGGGATGGAGTCAACTTATTTTCCTGGGCAAGAAAGTTCTGAATTCCATTTTCTGAGCTTTATAGTTTTCCTACCATCCAATCTCTTTGTATTGTTCCGGCTCCTTTTCTGCTAGAAGTTTGGAAGAAAGATCAGACGTTTCAAAGAAAACAAAGAAAGATTTAGATTTGCTTCTTGAAGCCTCATTCTATGCACCCTACTTGTCTTTTTGGTAAGATTTAGCTATGCTTTTCAATTAATTTAAACCATATTTTTGTTGACTTGAAACTTTCTCTTTATCTTCGTAATGTAACAGTCTTACAGATCTTGCAGTTTAATTAGGTCTTCTTCAACTGCTTCTTTGAAAAATCTTACATTTTTGGTCATCTATTTTTTTCAAACAAATTAACCTTCTTTGAAATGATTTTGGCTCTTTGGTTTTCATCATCGTGTTGATCTAGGAATGGTTGCTTTTTTCAACTTTGTTTGTCTTCCTCATGGATGTTGCAGATTCTACAAGATTGTGAAGCTAGCAGGATAGCTAGAAACATCTGGGAGAGACTCAACTGAAGGAAGTATCCTATGATTTGCAAAAGCTTGCAACAGATGGTCATGGTCATGGTCTTGTAGTCTATCTACCTATCTATGTAATATTTTAGGCTTTGTTTTTGACAGATGTCAATCTTTCCTTTAATATCTTTTACACTACTTCAAGGATATATTAGTAAGTTTGTTATTAAGAGTTGCGAAGGTAAACATTTCCCTTCTCTCTCCCAATGTTTGACCCATTTTTAAGTAATCGTTTCTCTCGGAATTTTTTTCACATTTCCCCTTCAGGTCAGTGATAAATCGTCACTGGCATTGATACCATATTCAGTCTTAATACACTGTGATTTAGAAAGAAAAAAAAATTAAAACACTTTTTCTATAATATTCACCATAGAATTATATATTATCTTAATTTAAATTAATTGCATCTGTTGATCGCAAAACGGTACATAGGGTTCTACTGACATGCGCATATAATTTTTTCTCACAACCTAGCAGTATTGGACTCGGTGTGTCTAGTTAGGTTTTTTTTTTTTTTTTTAATGAAGATTAGTTATTGAAAAAGTTAATAGATACCTTATACGAATAATATGATTATAAAAATGTTTTATTTTTCATAATATCTTATTTCTCTCACCAAATATAATATGTTTTGTTTTTTCATTTCAACTCTCACTTCTCATTTCCTAAGAAACTAAACATGATTGGAAAAATTCTTAATGTCATAGGTAGGTCGATTTGTCATAAGTTAAATATTTCTTGTCTCTCTTTTTTTGTAATATTTGAGAATAGAAATAACGTCAATAGTAATCATTAATCATTTGTGTTTATTGGTCACATTGTTCATATTTACATGATATTTATAGTTCAAATTCTTTTAATTGGCAGCAATTATTGATATTGATTCTAACGCCTTTAGGTCAAACCAGTGATATGACTTTCTTCATTAACATTTACTTATCTCTCAATAGAGCTGCTGAAATTGCTTGGCCTAAAAAGGTCGTGTGCTATAGAGTTAGTCAAAGATTATGATACATATTCTATTGAAATTGCTTGGCCAATTATGCTTTTAAAATAGTTTAGTTCATTCTTCCTTTGTATTTCGTTTTCTTACAAGTATTCATAAATTAATTTATTCAAACAAACCTCTCGTTACCATGTGATATTCAGTATGCTTTACCATCTCATTTATGATTTATAATCCCATCTAAACATGTGGAAGATATATTTGTATTTTCTCTGGAACATACCATTTAGAAATAGAATGTACTTGAGTGCGACTAGCTAGGCCTATGTTCTATTGTTAATTAATTTCATATACCTCTGGGACATTGATTTGCGCCGTGCTTGAAATACATAAGAAAATAAGAATCTTACTTATTAATGGTGGTATTTAAATACAACTATTGAATTCAACTATACTATATGCTTGTAGGTCTTACTTGAAAACAGCTTGATTTCTAGATTGATTTTTTTTTGTGCAGATTGATTATATTGAATTCAAATTTGTATTCAAGGGTTGGTTTTTAATTGATCCAAGCTTGAATTGACTTGTATTCGGTTCATAGGCTGTAAGCTGACTGAATGGGAATTAGAAGGTAAATTATATTATAAATTTTCAATATAATTAATTTAATTAATTAGATCAGTTTAATTTTAAACGGAGCCCAACTTGAGCCTAAGTATAGTATCATCAATTAAGAATATATAATCTGCTTGAATTTTACTATGAAGTTTGCATGACTGTTCCCGCGAGTGGCTTTAGGCTCAAATTAAATGAACTGAGCCTAATTACCCAAAAGCTATCTATCTCAAAGGGATGCCCAGTCTCTATAACGATACATATATAATTTTTACTAAATATTACATCACTCAATAACTTTATATCAAATGTAAATTTTGTAAATTTAATTGTTAAATTATAACTTTATATCAAATTTTATTAAAATTGAACAACAATTTAAAGATAATCAAAGTACTTATATTTTATTATATTTTAAAATGTATATATTACATTAATTTGTTATATATAATTTAAAAGTAAAGATATTCAATTTAATGATTGAATTTATAAAATTCACATTTAATATAAGATTATTGAATGATATAATATTTAATAAAAGTAGAGGATGAGAAAGTGAATAAAGAAGATAGTTTTTTAAAACAGATTTTATTTTAAAAATAAAAAAATGTTTAAATTATATATATATATATAGAGAGAGAGAGAGGGAGAGGCAGAGAGAAAGAAAAGGGAGGTATCTATTATTATTAAAAGGGGAAGTGTATATTGGCAATTCCATAACAGCCATTTTCTCCTCCAGAGTCCAGACCAGTTTATGGCCCAAGAAAAGAGTGCACGAATGGTTTCGCTCTTTCCTGGACCAGGCCTTGAGATGAGAGAGCGATTGGAACCCAAGACACCACGAGACCATAAGCATTGCTCCTCTCCTCTGCATATGCAATTTCACTTTTATAGGAAATCACATTATAAAGCAGTTTCTAAACAATAAACATTGTGAGGTCGATATTTCAAATTGCTCAAATAGATGTACAGTACTCCCTTAATAATTTCATGTGTGTTCCTTCTCATTTTATATAATATATGAAATAATAAATTTAAAATTTAAAATAAAGAATGTTAATGGGTTGGATTCACGCATTCAAAACTAAAATTCATTATCTAACTCAAAAAATAATAATAAATTTGATTAGGTTGGATTAATTTCTACCTAAACAATCCAAAAATTGAATTAAAGTATTTGAGCTAAATTGAATTAGTTTAACTTCACAAGTTCTCTTACCCATAAACATCCAAAGATAATATATATATATA